TGAAGCTCTCTAATTGATGCGTCAGTCTTTTGAGTCTGGTTTAAAGTGTTTAAATCCTTAAGCTTATCAATTATTGTATTTTTATCTTCTTTTCTTTCTAGTGTATTTTGCTTTTTAAAATTTCCTATTAAGTCCTTAGAAGGCTCCTTTGCTTGATATATATCTTTGATAATTTGAGAGTAAAAGAGATTTTAGCTGATACTCATAACAAATATACTACCGATTGCAAATAGTGAACTATAAATTCCTCCAAGTTCTGAAAGCAAATCTGCAAAATTATAAACTTTTCTCTCATAAATTTCATATTCAACATCCATTCTTAAGATAACTTTTGTGTAGCAATTGCACTCATGATAATTGAGGTTCCCTGTAAACTGAATGAAATTATCCACAAAGACAAAGTTTTTATTCTCCGAGGATTGAAATGGAAAAAAATTATCATTAAGATTAGAAAAACCTTTCTTTACAAATATTTCCATAGCTTTTTACTGATTAGTCTATACAGGTATAAAGTATCTATCTTCAATGAACTTTTTAATTGGATCTTGAATATCGTTAAAATCAAAGTACTGATTCACAAATCTTACTTGAAAATCAACCTAAAGTTTAATTGAGATTAAATATCTTACTGTTGAGAAATATTTAAGAATTTCAGACTATGAGGCGCAGATTGTCTTGCTATCAGTTTTATTTTCACAAGGTTTCATTACAATCTGAATTTCTTCTAATCTATTTGTTGTCCATGCACCTCCTAAACTAAGATACTTTTTTTCTTTGATGCAAAGAAGATTAGCAACATCTTCATATGCTGACTCATTCTTTTTTTCATAATTGAAATGCTGTAATCCACATCTTACCAATTCAAGTGGTTCATAAACCATTTTTGCCTCTAGATATTAAAATAAGATTCATATAATCTGTAAGGATATTCCTACCTAAGAGACCAGTTGTCTCATTTTTAAATCTTTGCTTCACATTATGTGTTGCAATAATTGAGCCATATTTTGGATCTAAATCACTGTATCCTCCAAATGCTAAATCAAATCCCAGCTTGCTATAAATGATTTTAAATATAATGAAGGGAAAATTTTTATTACTAAACATCAATCATATCAGGGTTATCTTTCTGTGCTTCATTCATTACAAATCTCGAAGTTTTATTGTCAAGTTTTACTGATAGATTGATTAATCAAATAGAATCATACAAAACATTATTCTAAGTTTGAAGATAAGATAGCTAACTACTGAGATTACTATTAGAGTTGTAGCAGCTGCGCCTATGTTTGTCTTAAAAGTTCTATATTACGTGGATTTAATTAGGAGTTACATATTTTATAATGTATAAATGATTAAATCCTGGTAATACTTACTTTTGGCCTTTGAAAGTAAACATAAATGGCTGCCCATACATGTCAATATTCTTAAATTTTTCTTTTATTTAGTCGATACGAGCTTTAGGGGAAAAAGTTAAGCATGGTTTATGGATATTATTTACAAGTTTTCTTAGTATTCTAGTTAGACATTGAGATTTCTTATTTATTA